GTTTTGTGAATTCAGTGGTGGTGGAAGCATCTCAGCATTGACGTGTGTCCCAAGTGGCTCCACCAGCTCTAGGGCTCTGGCTCCATCAGTTTATCCCTGTGGATTGTCAACAGGAATGTTTCCAGGGAGACAAAGCAGAGAGAAAATGCGTGTCTGTCTCCAGGGAGGAAGATGGGCGTTCCCAGAATGCTCAAGAGAAAGCCATGCCCACACGGAGGTCTCATTGGCTAAGGCCTGATAGACAGGCTAGACTCCCGCGTCCTTGGGAAGTTGACAGGAGATTATGTAACTGCCACACCTGTTTTACACACCTGAAGATTACAGATGACTTTTCGTAGTGCAAGGACCGTTACGTGACGTGCAAATCCACCAGCAGCTCCTAGGTACAAAGACGTGACAGTCGGCTTCCAAAAAGAGTCAGTTCTCCTCCTGACACCCCCCCACCCCCCCGCCAAAAAATTGCTGCCACCAAACTACTAAACATACTGTCATGGATGTATTCTGACGGTGGGACAGCCTTGAACATCCTACGGGGCAGTTCTGCTCCATCCTACAGAGTCTCTGTGAGGCACATCAAATGGCAGAGTGTCTTACTCTTGGAGTAGCTACATTCCTTCTAGAAATATGCAAGCTGGATTAATAAAGGAAAATGTCTAATCATTAGTTCTGTGATACTGTACTGTATTCAATAATGTCGTAAAGTGAATTTATATTATGAGTAATTTGGAAACTTCACAAAATTTTCTCTTCTTTTGTTCAAAATGTTTGTCGTGACAAATTGGAAGTGGGGGGGGGCTGATTACTGCTCACTGTTGTTTGGAAATTTCATATGGTTTCGACCCAGGGGTACAACAGGGCTTCTGTGCTTTTCAGGAGCTAAAGTATGTGAAGGGTCTCCTTCATTTTACTTTTCCACCTGAAAATTTCAGCTGCTCTTAACCCTATCTTCTTTTCTCTTAAGAATGATAGTAGAAAAGGAAGGGCATCTTTGGGAAAGACTCCTGTTTTTTACATTGCAAATGTCTTAATCAATTCACATTGATCTTGGCATGCTTCTTTCTCTTACTGGTGTGATATGTGACTGTGCTCATTATGTTTTGCAGACAGGCGTATGCTCTGGAACACAGCCAGAAGTTTGAGATGCTGTTTCAGCAGTGGGATGAAAATGCGCAGAAATCTAAGCAGCAGAGAGAAAATCTACGCGTCGGTATCCCGGTTCACTTTCTCAGTAATGTGTGGGACCCTACGTCTCAAGTAGGAAGGAGTGGACAGCGTAGCCCCTTGTCATAGAGACAAGGAACGAGCTCGCTTCCCTCACCCACTGTGGGCTATGTGGTTTGCATCTGACCACGGTAGAGCAGTGTGTTGTTCTTGTTGTTGCTGTTGGTGTTAGGTGCTGTCGAGTCAGTTCTGACTGGAAGTGACCCTACGTACAACAGAAGGAAGCACTGCTTGGCCTTGACCCTCCTCACAATCTTTACATTGGGCAGCCTTACGCCTTGTGAACCACCTTGAACTTTATCAGGTTCACCTCGGTGCTTGGTGACCGCATGTGTGTCAGACTCGAACTGTGACCTATGGAGTTTTCAATGTCTGGGTTGTTTTGCTCTATTTTTTTTTAGGATGTTGATCTCTTGGTCTTTCTCCCAAGGCACTATTTGGAGGACCTGAACGTTCAGCCTTTTATTTTGCAGCCACCACGTTATCTGCGAGTCCCCTGTTTTCCGTAGGTGGATGGCATCATGCATCAGGGGAGGGTGGCTTCAGGCCCAACGTAGGCTCTTTCCCATGGGAAAGGAGACAGCTTCCTACAATCCTACACTTGTGTACAGCCCCAGTGGTCAGATACAATATTGCTTAATCCCTGTGAGGAGAACTCTCTCTATTCTAGTTTGTATCACTGCCCCTTCCATAAACCAGTCCTCATGACCAGGGCATGCTTTCCTCATAACGGGCAAGCCTGAGCCATCTGCCATTCCCAGGGGCGCTGGAGTCAGCCCCGACTTACCACATACTATAAGATCTAGAGCTCCATGAGCTCCTGGCTCATTTGTCCTTGGATTTCCCAGGTAACATTATCATACAGCTCCTAACCCAGCGAGAGACACTCTTGCTCACACTGACAAATTTGGGTTTGGTCAATCGGATCAGTTTTGGAAATGATAAACTAAAGTTTCTT